ATGATATCCCGTTATGATACAACATCTAGCATTATGAAGATGGCACAACATAACAACACAACTCACGAAATCGTTGAAATATAATCAACACAACTCAACACAACTCAGTATCAGACCACATTTCATCCTAGATCAAGACATTCAAATAACTTATATATATATATATCACTTTGCAATGCATGTATACATGTATACACACATATACACATACAAAAATGTATAAAATATATACACATACGTACACACACACATAACATATGTATATATATATATGTATATATATATATACGTAATGTTTTTTTCATTTATAAAACTTTTATCGCATGAAGTGTGCAAGGGGATAGTATAAAATAAAAAATGTATAGACATGTACACACATACACACGCACACACATACGTACACACACACACGCACACACACATGCATGTAAATAGCACATATTCATCTTCTTTATCACATGTAACATCTTCTTTAACATGTCACCATCATCTTCGTCATTCCAACATCATCATCATCGTCTTCCTCCTCCTCATCATCATTTCTTCAATCAGGACAATGTGAAATTAATCTTTAACCTTATCACCGTCATCATGTTGTTGGCTGTGTGTGTGTGTGTGTCTGCGTTTGTATGTTGACGCTTTTCAAAGGTTTTTTATGTTTCTCACTTTCTTTCTTTCTCTCTCTCTCTCTCTCTCTCTCTCTCTCTCTCTCTCTCTCTTTCTCTCTCTCTCTCTATCTCTCTCTCTCTTTTTATAGAATTTTTACAAAACTTACAAGAAACAGTTGAGAGATGTGTAGTTGAATTAGGATGGAAACAATTTCACAAAAATTCTACAAAACTTTCAATAAAATGTTTCAGTTTCATCAAGTTAAAAATTTGAAACACGAAACGATTGGAGATTTTACAGATGTGATATTGGGTTCATTATGTTTGGTTGTTTTTGTATATGATACGTTGAATTTGCACTCAAAACTTTTATTTTTTTTTATCTCTCTATGGTTTAATATTTGAGTGTATGTGTCTATATGAGTGTGTGTGTGTGTTTGTGTGAATGTGTGTGTGTGTAGGTTTTTGTGTGTTAGTGTGGGTCTTGTGTGTGTGTGTGCACGTGGTTTTAGGTTATCTTTGATGGAAAAAATGGCGTTCGTTAGTGGAGGTTTTCAAGTGTTATTTCGTCAATATCAGATCGCCAGAAGGTTCTGTACTAAATTTTTTTACATTTTTGCCAATTATCACCTTGCTATTAATCTCTCCGGATAACTATTTATCTTATTATCCATTCATCTATTTGAGTTAAATAATCTATTTATTTATCCATTCCTCTTTCATCCATCCATTCATCATCCATCCATTCATATATCATTCATCTTTCCATTCATCATCCATCTATCTATTTTCATCCATTTATTTATTCATTTTATATCCATCCATCAATCCGTTTGGTTAACCATTTATCCATCAGCACTTGTACAAAGCATCAGCCGCTATCATGGATGGATAATTGGAATGATGGTTCGTTAAGTGAAACCATTTGTGAGCACTTGGGTTCTTTATATGTGCTTGTGTGTGGTATTGTTGGAAGGCAGTGCCGATGATAAATTCTGTAAGATGTGTGTGTGTGTGTGTTTGTGAGTATTTGTGTGTGTGTGTGTTTGTATTTCCTCACACGTCGATCTGTAACAATGTTGTATGTGTTCGTTGTGTTGAATTGAATGTGCTGTGTGTTAGTGTTTGTATTAGTGTGGGTTGTATGCTTATTTGTGTGTAAGTGAGAAAGAGAGAGAGAGAGAGAGAGAGAGAGAGAGAGAGGAGAGAGAGAGAGAGAGAGAGAGAGAGAGAGAGTAAATGACTTTTATGAACTGTTTTCGATTTGGTTTCAATTTTCCAGTTCACTTCTCCGTTGAAAGTTTTTATTATCGTTCTATTATTATTATTGTTGTTGTTGTTAATAATAGTATTTATTATTATTATTATTTATTATTATTATTATTATTACTTTCACTTTATTTTTACTTATTATTGCTACTATTTATGTGTGCTCCGAGTAAAAACGCTTGGTAATGAATTTACGATGGTTTCCAAACAGTTCTTAGCACCGTTAGAATTAAATCACCCGATAAAATGAATTAAATGAGATGATTGATGGTGGAGGAAATAGCATCAGCAAGTTTACCATTTCTACTACTAATACTCACTTACACAACTGCTGTTGCTACTATCGCTACTACATCTACTACCACTGTTACTACTACCACTGTGATATTGAATAGTGGTAGAATCTTTAGCAGTAGAGTATCAATTAAAGTAGCATCAGCCATAGTAGTAGTAGTAGTAGTAGTAGTAGTAGTAGTAGTAGTAGTAGTAGTAGTAGTAGTAATAGTAGCAGTAGCAGTAGTAGTTGAAATAGTAGTAGTAGTAGTAGTAGTAGTAGAAGAAGCAGCAGTAATGTTATAAGCAGTAGCAGAAGTTGCAGTAGTTGCAGTAGTAGCAATACATAACTTCATCTCGATTCATATCCTTAACATAAAACAACACACATAAGCTGAGTAGAACAGACGATTGTAACAACCATTAATAAAAAGCTTCGACCTCATTCTGGGATAGCACTGATTGCGATGATGAATGTAATGATGATGAAGAGGACGATGGTGATTGTAATAATGAGGAAGATGACGATGATGATGAGGATGGCGATTGGTACGATGTTTTAAAAATTGGCGCCCATCTCTTTTGGCGACCACAAACTTTCAAACCCAGCATTGTAATAAGTGCAAGTGTGAAAAATTAACCTGCCCACACACACACACACCACGCGCACACACAAACTACACACACAAACAAACCACACACACACACACAAACCACACACACACACAAGCCCATAGCGAGCTCACAACACAAAACGACTTGATGCAATTTATATGGTGTTTGCTTCATTAAGTACACTGTTTATTAGCCACTCTTATAAAAACACTGTCGTCAAAGATTTTGTATGTGTGTGTGTTTGTGTGTCTGTCCCATTGTGTGTGTGTGTGTTTGTGTGTCTGTCCCATTTTGTGTGTTTGTGTTTGTGTGTCTGTCCCATTGTGTGTATGTGTTTGTGTGTGTGTGTGTTTGTGTGTCTGTCCTGTTTATTTTAATTTCTGCTTAGAGATAAGCGCGCATTGTTTATATTTATAGAAACTAACTTTACATTTTTTATTTTCCTTACAAAAACATTTATCAAAAGATTTTCCCACCTTAATCAACTTTCTTTCTTAATGGCCACACACACACACACACACACACACACACACACACACACACACACACACACACACACGCACGCACGCACACACACACACACACGCTCACATACAGACCTGCATACACTTTTACACACACAGATATTTACATAAAAACACATAAACACATAAAACGTACGTAAAAACACACTTATACAAACACATACACACACTTATACACACTAATACACACACGCACACACACACATACACACTCAATGACTTCATTTAGGTTTTTTGTAGTTACCACCTAAACAAACACAAATTTCTAACTCTCTCACATGAGATTATAGTATAAATTGCTCCATTACGTTTGAAGTTTTTTTAAATATGTTTTTAGTGTTTAAAACCAGAAAATAAAAAGTAAAAATTGGAAATATATGAATGTAATAAAGAAAAGTTAATAAAATAACTCAACAGAATAATAAAAATACTCGGGTTACAAAAATTTAAAAACTTGTAGCGATTGATATGTGTGATGTGTATTATTTTACAAATTTTTAAATTAATTTCAGAAATATAAAAGAGAAAAAAAAGCAAGCTTAGGAAGAAACTACACCACACACACACACGCACACACGCACGCACACACTTATCTTATGAGTCTCTTTTTATGTTGCTTTTCAGTTCGCATCAGTCAAACATTTTCAAACATAATAACAATAAAATGTCATTAGTGAAAGAGAAAAAAAATATTGTACTGGCACACACCAGCTGAAACAACAATCCCAACTTGGTGGTATCTTATAATAGGCTACAGTGGTGCCAGTTCCATATTTTTGATGGAGTACTTCGAATATGAATTAAGTTGGGTTTTGAAAGGATTTCCATTGAAATATACAGTCCTGACCTGTCAGAAACATTTTTATGCCCGGATCAGATAACATATGTTTTTTAGTACATTTTATTACCATTACATTATGATGATGACAGTGATGTTGATGATAATTACGTCATTTTGATGACGCTCCCGTCAGCTTTTTCAAAAATGTTATAGTTCAATTTTACTATTTCAACCCCATGCTTCGCAGTCTCTGGTAAATAAACAAAAATAGATGACTACATTTTTTATTAAATTATGTCTCAAACAACAAATAACAACACAAATATTAAGGAAATATTGATATTTATCATTACAAATTGAATTTTAGAGGCGAAAAGCCCAAAAAATTGCATCCACTTCAGCTGTGTGGGTGGGTGTACCCCTTATATGCTTATATGGCATCTTTCATTACCGTGTTTATTTACAAATATTAACATATGGCAACAAATCTCATTGGAACAGATGATTCAAAACCTAATTAATAACAACTTTTACTAACAACTAATTAATTAAATAAGATATTTATTTATTTATTTTATTAATTAATGAATCATTGTAAAAAAAGAAAAAGGTTCATTTCATTTCCTAGATTTTTTTCAAACGGAAACATTCGTTGATAAAAAATAAAATAAAATAAATAAATAAAATAGAATTAATAAATTCATTGATTTCATTTTTTAAATATTTTATTGTATTTGTTAATTTTCAATTTTTATTATTATATTTATATATAAGATAAACATAAACTAAATCTATAATAAATTAACAATATTAATTTATTTATCCTCTACACAGGCATAAGACCGCAAGTTCTCTTTTTTTAAATAAAAAAAATTAATTTGAAAAAAATACATCTACTACAACAGTGTTCAATCATTTTAGAATTCAATAGTAGTTAATAGTTTTACTTTTACAATTTGAAGAAAATTTAAATTTAATTTTATATTATTTATAAAACTGACAAAAAATTCTCACACATAGCTGATTGGCATATGTTAATGAACACTGAGCAGAGTTAATTAAAAATTAAATAAACAAGAAAAAATCATTTTTAGCTAGCATATGTCATCAAACTAGGGACTACTACTAATTACTACTCAGTAGTTAGGCTAAGGATACATTTTAGTACTAAAAGCTTATTTGAATCAACAATTTTAGTAGCAAATTTCAACCTACATTTATTAAAACTACTTGTATAACTATAGTAACAAATTATATAACTTATATAACTTAGTTTGAATCATAATTAAAATTTTGACAATGTTGAAAAAATTCTGGCCAACGTTAATCCTGATATTTGTTGGTGTGGATGCGTTAACTGCCAGTTCAGTGGACATAAGGTACCACAACTACGAAGAGGTGCATCAGATTTTAAGGGACATCCACCAAAAATGCCCTGACATCACCTACCTTTACAACCTGACTGGCTCTCAGAACACCACTACAGAAGGCAGGACATTGGCCGTCATTGTCATTTCCGATAAGCCTGAACAACATGAAATTGGTGATCAATATTTTTTTACGTATATTAAATTTTGCGTTATGCCATTTTCCAATTTGGATTTTGGGTTTCTAGTTTCTGTAGAAAAAATGTGTTCCTTTGAAAAGTTTTCATTCTTATTTTTATCATTGTTTTTTCCACCAACTTGATGCTATCATTGCTACTTTCATCAACTTTTGTTTACAGCTTATTAACAAAAATAGTGAAATCAATAATTTATTGCTTCTAGTTTTTGGCAAATTCTAGAATGTTTTCCTCTCATTGTTATAAATTCTGAAAAAAACAACAAACTCCAGGTGAGCCAGAATTTAAGTACGTAGGCAACATGCACGGCAACGAGGCGGTAGGCAAGGAAATGCTGCTGTTGCTGGCCGATCTGCTCTGCGATCAGTACAAAGCTGGCGATGAAAATATCAAGAAGTTGGTGGACGAGACGAGGATCCACATCCTGCCGTCCATGAATCCCGATGGCTGGGAGCTTGCTTATGAATATGTAAGTTGGGAGAGGGAGGTTGTGGAGTTTGTTGGGTAGTAATGTCCTTCATGATGCTTCCGGTGATGATGATTCTGGCAAAGATGGCCTTAGAAACAACGTTGATGATGATGATGGGAAGACTGATGTTTGATTTTTCCACCTTCCAACTGCAGAAAGACACTCCTGAGATAATTTTAAAGGGGAGAAGCAATGCAGAGAACATCGACCTGAACAGAAACTTTCCAGATTTGAACTCCATCTTCTACAGCCACAACCGCCCGAATCGTTTTGGTGGTGGTGGACATGCTGGTCGTATGCGTTTTGGGGGTTTTGGCTTTTTTGGTGGTGAGATGCGTTTGAGGAACAATGGCATGAGTATGAGTGGTCCGCACAGAAAGAACAGTTGGCTTCTTGAGGAGTTCTTGGAGTCTGGAGTGGCTCAGAACAGTGATGAGAAGGTAAGAGAAAGATGATGACGATGGTCCAAATGGTTGTCTTTTTACTTATATATATCAATTTTTACTTTCATAAAAACAAAGTAACATAATTGTTACGATAGTTGGCTCGAGAGACACTTCTGGTGATCCGCTGGTTGTTGTCGCATCCGTTCGTCCTGTCGGCCAACTTGCACGGAGGCGACCTGGTCATCAACTACCCCTTCGACGAATCAGACGATGGACGCAAGACCAAGTACATGAGGACTCCTGACGATGATGTTTTCAAGTTGGTGACTTTCATTCTCCCCAATTATTATTAAATTATCACCTAACCATCATCTGCTATTCACCCGATGTATGATATCAAAATATAAAAAAAGATTTCTCTTCATTTTTGAAGCCCCCAACGCCACCATCGCTACCACCAGGTACATAGCCACCCGCTACGCAAGTCTGCACGGCGTTTTGAAGAGACCTCACCCGAAGTGCTCAGATGGGGACGACTTCTCAAAAAGGGGAGGGATCACGAATGGAGCCAACTGGTACTCCATTTCTGGCGGTCGGTCTTTCTCTTCGAAAACTTCTCATAGCTGTACATTAACACACCACACACACACACACACACACACACACACACACACACACACTCATTATTATTATTATATCTTTTATTATACCCCTTACCCCTTATTATTATACTCACAGGCATGCAGGATTTCAACTACCTCGGCACGAACTGCTTCGAGTTGACATTTGAACTCAGTTGCAACAAGTTCCCCAAGGAAAGTGACCTGCCCAAGTTTTGGCAGGACAACAAGGAGGCTATGGTGGATTTCATTTGGCAGGTTAGGGAAGAGAGGGATATGAATTTTGTCCCATATCAACTTGTATAACGTTGGATTTAGATTTTGGTGAAAGAAGAAATACTCATGTACACAACCAACATACAAGAAATATACACATGTACAACCAACATACAAGAAATACACACGTATACAACAAACATACAAAAAATGCACATGTATACAACTCACTTGCAGACCCACACCGGAATCAAGGGACAGATTTTCAACGACGAGACCAGGGAGCCTATCTCTGGCGCCACCATCATGGTGAAAAATGTCACAGATGGTGCCGATGACTTAATTAATCATGACGTCATTTCCGGTTGGCGAGAAATATTTTTTTTCGGCGGGCAAATTATTTTTAAATGCTGAACTCTAAAATTATCTGAACATTATAAGTCGCCCAGTTAACAACAGTAGTACATTTACAACGCATTTGTCAAACCGCTGATTAAAAATATTTTTCTTGCGTTATTTCAAAATTTTATTTTTGAAGTTTGATTAATTCATTTTTTTTTTAATTTTCAGCTAAAGATGGCGACTACTGGCGTCTGCTTACCGCTGGTCAGTACATGGTCAGTGTATGTGCCCTCAACTACAAGTGCACATCCAAGATGGTCAGCGTCAGGAAGGAACCGTTCACCACGGCTAAAATTGTTAACTTTGGGTTCGTTTTATGTTTGCATTTGTTTGTGGGTTAGTCTGTCTATGTGTGTGTGCGTGTGTGTCTGTGTGTGTGTGTGTCTGTGTGTGTGTGTGTGTCTGTGTGTGTGTGGGCTGTGTGTGTGTGTGTTTGTGTGTTTGCCTAAGTGTGTAGAGTTTTTTTGGAGTATTAATTTAAATTTCGTGTCGAGACATTAAAACGATTGGCAGAGTTATTGACTTTTTCTCAGACTGACTCCGAATGGCGATGTTAGCGTCGGTGAAGATGGTGGAGATTCTTCTTTCTATGGCAGTAAAGATGCTAGGGTAGGAAGCTTCCATTCAAATTTTATTTTACGTTTTTGGAAATTTTCGGTACGTTGAATCATATGTCATCACGATTGAACATTATGAAATAATAATCGTCTTTCTTTATCATTCATCATCGTCGTCATCGTCAACACATCATCGCTATCGCCATCATCATCTAAGTCGTCTTCATCGTCGTCATCATCATCATCAGATGGAGTTATCTGACCTGGACTTGAAGCTGAGAGAGATGTACGGTGACCTTAGAGAGGGCAGTAGCGGTAGGAGGTCAAGGGTGGAGGAACTTGAAGGTGAAGGTCGACTGGAGAATTCAAGGAAATAGTTTTGATGATGATGAGGAGGATTTCGATGTGGTAGTGATGTCTAAAATCAACATATTAATAATGATGATGATGATAATAATAATAATAATTTATAATTTATCAATATGATGCTTGATGTTGTTTTAATTGTAGTCCATACATAATTCGCACCTATTCAAATATACAATCATATATTAATAACACGTATCCCAATGTTTGTGGCTATGTGTGTGTGTGTACGTGTGTGCGCGTGTGTGTACGGTGTAGCTATTTAACCATATATTCCATATTTAGCATTTCAATTTGTAATATTCCATTATTAATTCGCTCATTCTTCCGTTATTCATACGTCGCTGTACGTTCCAGCATGTTATTATGTTATTATTCATGTCATTATCTATCTTATCTTCAAAGTTTGACAAATAAAACGGATGACGACGACAATGAGGATGATGATAAGAAGGATGATAAGATGGATGGTGAGACTATAACAGTAGCAGTAGTCCTACAGACCGTATTGGTGATGTAGATATATTTCTTGATGACAGATAATGATAATATGACTAAGATGACAATATTCATTTTATTACGTATTTAGTGGTTTTTATTTTATAATTTAGTATCATTTATCTTCATCAGTTACTGTAGGATTTTATTGGTTTTAATCTTAGGTTCCACTACCTATCAGTTGTCTTTATCAGTTACTGTAGGATTTTATTTGTTTTAATCTTAGGTTATTGTTAACCGAACCTTCTAAATGATAGCAAATAATATAGTGAATGAATTTAAGGTTTGCCGTTTTGGTCACCTGCATTTTTAAACAAAGACACGAAAGAGTTGATGAGTTTGTGAGTTTGATTTTGAAATAAATCGTTTATATATCATGTAACATAGAAACAGAATGAATAATTTATTACCATTAAAATAATTTAAACCCATGCACCGCACTTCATTTAACTATGTATTTGTATATATTTAACTATGTATTTGTATATATTTTTTTTTAGTTAGTTCACAACGAATCTCAAAAATAGTGTTCGCATCTTTAGTTATTACCATCCCACATCTGCTAGTACCTTTTAGGTAATTTGTTCATTGATGGGGATGTTATTTCTTTTTAGTTCACACAAAGACACGAAAGAGTTGATGAGTTTGTGAGTTTGATTTTGAAATAAATCGTTTATAGATCATGTAACATAGAAACAGAATGAATAATTTATTTGTTCTGTTATTTCTTTCCATTAATTCTTAATGTCATACTGACATTATTAACTCATTATCACATTATTATCTTTAAGCTTTTAGTTGATGCTTTTTGCTGTAGTCTATTCTGTTGTAGCTGATGTGTGGTGTGTTAAATCAAAAGATACTTATTGCTTATTTATTTGTCAATTTGTTTTAAGGATATTAATTGAGTTTAATAATATTAATAATAATAACGGTTATTTAGTAGTTACGATTTTGTGATGAAAAAGATGGCTTAGTTTATTATATCTGGTTTTTTGGTTATAATTTTGATGATTCTTTTTTCCAGTATAATTTTAATGATATAAATGTATGGAATTTTATAAAGAAGTTGAAGACATGCTTTAGAAAATGATGACAATGCTAACAAATAATAACATCATCATGCAGTACATTTTTCTTTTACACACACACAACACACACATACGCACAACACACACATACAAACAAACACACGCACATACATTGTATAAGTATATATATATATATATATATATATATATATATATATATATATATATATATATATATGTGTGTGTGTGTGTGTGTGTGTGTGTGTGTGTGTGTGTGTGTGTGTGTGTGTGTTTGTGTGTACGTTTGTATGCGGGAGTATAACCCATTATTATTATTATTATTCTTGTTTATTATTTTTTACTATTTTTTTTGTTATTTAGCAACATGGTAAACTAACTCATCTCACTGTTATTTCTTTTTTCAGCTAATTTTGGCATAATCGAAGATTCCACCATGATCTATATTCATTTCATATTATGATTAAATATTTTTCTTCTTTTTTTTTTTTTTTCTTTGGGCTTTACTTATCCAGTCTAAAATTCAAACTATTTAACTATACCAGTAATTATGTCCTGGTACATATCTAACTAAAATATATATATATATATATATATATATATATATATATATATATATATATATATATATATATATATATACACACGCATGCATGTACAAAACACGCCTTCTCATAACCTTTATGATGACAACGACAAAAGAATTGATGGTGTCTGAACTGAAATTGAATGAAATATACACGTCTGCTATGTATAAATATTGTAAAAAAATATATTAAATATATATATACAACAACAACAACACACGTTTAGACCACATTTTCCCCGAAATCTGGGGTTGCCGTTTGGCTACCTATGATGAAACCGAAATACCCCTCGACGCCATTCCATCATAAGTAATTTATTTGGCAAGTTTTTACGCAGGACGCCCTTCCTTACGCAACCACAGTTATAAGCGGTGGCCCTAGCCTTTGATGATCCAACATCACTCACAAGGCAGTGAGGGTCAGTTTAATGTCATAACCAGGACTTTAATGCCATATATATATATATATATATATATATATATATACTTAAGATCCAAATTCTCTGTCCTTGCCACAAATCCTGACATTATTTATTTATTTATTTAAATAATAAATATTTAAAATATTCATACAGACACGTGCATTTATACATATTATTTACGTCATTCCATTACACATTCATGTACTCAAAATCCCAATCCTTAGTGCATTCATCATCGCTGTCCATCCCACAAATCCTGACAGCGTATTACGCGTGAGCTGTGCTTGTCGTTACGCATGGTCATGGTCTTTGCGGTGATGGTTGACACTGTCTGATAGGTGGTAAAAGTTGCACTTTGCCATTAGCATGTTATTATTCCGTATGTTTATTGTGATTAATAGAATTCTTTCTATTGTTGCTGAAGTTTAAATATAATGGAGTTTAATACTGATTAAGAAGTTATTGTCCCTTCATCATATTAGTGATGCTTAGAGTTAGTTCATAGCTATTTCAATATTTGTTAGTGCGCAATATGAATATTTATTATGATTAGTAATATTTATTAGTTATTTAAATTGTAAATTATAATCTTCTGTGTACGGTTAATAAAGTGTACTGCATTACTTGTGGTTCAGACTTTTCGATTTAATTACTTTCGAAAAAAAAATTTAATTTATCACTTTATTAACGTGCTAAAAATTGTTTTTTTTCGCTTCATTCCAGTTGAATTGAAACCAATTGATCGAAAGAAATCCGTGATAAAATACGAAAACTTGAAACCAATTACTTAGACCTTTAACCTTTTGGGGAAATATGAAAACTTAAAACCAATCCCTCTATCAAATCTATAAAACGTGAAATCTATCAAACGCATGGTTGATTCTGTTGGAATTATGATTTTTAGATGTCATGAGAGGTCTTTTTTCTTTATTATGGCACTAGTATTGCGTAAAATGAAGCCATCTACATTTGGGAATGTTAAATGTCAAATGATGGCGTTAATAATTAGCAACAGGATGTTGATTAAACGTTTATGAACGCACACAAATTTTGAAACGTTGAAGAGTTTAAAAACTTGATAGTTATTATTATTAAAACTATCAAGCTGACGTTTGTCCTAAAAACTATGGGAAATAAATGGAAATGTAAGTTGTTTCGCTATTTCATTTTAATCCTACATAAATTATTAAAATAACAGTTTGTCGCGAAAATGGTTTAGAATATAGTTACATTTGTTTGGTTAGTTCATTTAAATCATTCCAAACTAATGATTGGTTAAATTAAACTATGATTCAAAATGTTTCCAAACTAAATTTGGTTTTCTCGAGCTTAATTTTTCAATGTTCATCATAAAATATCAAAATTGTCTTAGTATGTTATCAGGTTTAAAGTATTTCAATATCAGAACAGCGGGCCATTCAATTCAACTTGATCATCATCCTGCAGTAAACGAGTTGACGCCAAGTTCCAGTTTTAGCTGTGTAGTACATTTCATCCCTCCCACCATAAATACCATTCAAATTTATGGTATAACAATTATTGAACCAGAAACCAGAACTGTACATATTGGCGCAATTGCCGGCCGTGTCGTGATCTGGAGTTGAAAACCTTGCGGCATTTTGATAACGTATTCCATTTCTATTCATCACATCCAAGTTATTCCCACTGTATCCGAACACATGTATTGTGTAACTCAAAACTTCCGAATCAATCTAAATGAAATAGAAATACATATTATAATTATTAAGAATAAATTAATAGAATGGGTTATCTTTCTTTGAAGCTGTCATATTCGTCCAGCAACCAATCACCATCCACAATAACTTCAAATCTCAATCTGTAGCTGGCCGAGTTGGTCAGCTGATAGATTTTCTCCAATCCCAACCAAAAATTAGCATTGAATGTTCCGAAACCTGCCTGAGATTTTTGAACAATTCTGGACTTTAATGAAATGTTATTTAAGAAGATTTTTTTCTTTAGAAATTTTCAAAAAAAAAAAACGTTCGATTTGTTTTGTTATTATTGTTTTATTCCAATTCACTAAAAGTAAACCTTTTGCAAAAAATTTTCTTCCAACACTTACTTTATATTTTGCCCAACTCTGATTGAAACTTTGCGAGCCATCAATTCTTTGCTGGATGACAATCCATCCGTTGACACACAACACAGTTGTTGGAGTGCTAAAAGTTGGAATGGTCAAAGAAATTGTTCCATTGGTGACATTGCAATCTGTAACAGAAATTGAAATTCCAGAATAATTATTTTGAAAACACTGTTGTTGTATAAATGCTTAAAATGAATGAGTAGCTACCAAATGGGTTCTGACTAATGACTAACTTATGAAAAACACTCTTAATAATTCTCTTTATGTGTTGCTAAAAAATGTGAAAATCATTAGAATATATTTAAGTTTAAGCAAACTTTGTAATTATTTCATAAAAATATGAAAACAACAGAAATAACTAAATGACTGACACAAACTCACTTTCAAATCTGAATTTGTATCCAATATTCTGCAAAAAATATTAATAATTTAAAAATTTTTATACTGACTTATAATATCTCAAATATTCTCAACTAACGGTGAATCCCCAACAACCATTCCCTTTAAGCATCATTAAAAACTTCTTTTGTTCAAGGTGGATAAGTTGACAGTTTTTCAAAGGACTCTCACTGTTGGAGATGTAGTTGAATGCATTGCATGAGTCATTCATCTTTGTGAGGTTCATACTTGCTGAGGAATTCAATTGAGAACATTTGGCCAAACATTCCAGCAATGATCTGATGTTAACCTGCTCAATGATCGGTTTTGTATCAAGACAAACGGTCTCATTGGAGAGTGGATGTTTGATTTGTTTGTACAAATTTTCAAAACTTTGTTGGAACGTGAGGAAGATCGTGAAGAACACAAGTGGAGAGACAGAAATCATGGCGGCCTTATGAATTTCGGTAAAATTTGACATTCAAAAACGCAATTTGGGCTGACGATAGTTTCAAACTCATATTTATTTGATGGATCTGCTAAATTTCTATTGTTTTAAGTGCTCACTTTATCGTCGGAAAATAAACATTTAAATTTGCGCAAACACAATCAAGCTGATAAATGACTATGCTAATGACCGTTAATTGCCGTTTCAATTGTGAATTCGAACCGGTAAATTAGGAACATTGTAAGTAAAAAATCAATATTTTTAAAATTTGTTGCATTTAAATTTAAAACAGTTGCATTTTGGTAATATGTTTCAGTGCATTTAGAACGCATTAGTGCACTGTTTCCCAACGCGGGACCCTAGAGAGCTTATGTCATTCTCCAGGGGATGCCAGGTTTGCCGGCTTAGGGTAAACGTGGAAATGGTTGCTAAAAAATACTGGTTTCACTAGATAAACACTTTAAAAAACCAAAAAAAAACGCAAAAACCGCCAACTTTTGGAAAATAACTTGATTTACTGGCAATTATTTCACATTTTAAAAGTTCATCACATGCCGATACAATAAACATATTTTGACCAGGCAATAAGTTAGCCAAAATTGTTTCATCATCATTCTTTCATCATTACCATCATCAGTGAACAAAATTGAAATAAATTTATTGAACTGCATTATAAAAACAGCATCCTAGCTAGAAATGTTAATCTAAACTTTGAAAAGTAATAAATATTTATGTAAATGTTTTAGAAATCCTAACAAAAATAAATGATTGTTTATATTCTGTAAAATGTTTGGTCAGATATTAACTTTAAATTTTCACTTCAAATCAATTTGATCATCATTCGGCAGTAGGTCAGAGAGGAATATTTTGCAGTGTAATACAAATCATGATAACCGTAAATTCCATTAACATCTTGCATGTAACAGTTGTTGAACCAGTTCCCAGAGGAGTACTGGTTGGCACAGTTTTTCAATTGAGGAGTGTTGTCTTGATCTGGAGTTGAAAATTTCATCCCATTTTGAAAGTGCTTTCTAGCTCCAGGTTTCCAATTCAAAATATCCAAGTTGTCACCAATATAGCCCGAAACATTGATTGCATATTTGGAATCTTCTGAGTCAATCTAAAAAATATAAGAACAACTTTTTAAAACATTCTCAGTTTTGTTGAATAATAAATGCACCATCACCTTGAAACTGTCGTATTCATCAGATATCCAAGCTCCATTTTTAACCAAAATTTCAAATCTCAATCTGTAGCCAGCTGAGCTTGTCAGTTGATAAATTTTCTCTAATCCTAACCAGAAATTGGCGTTGTATAAACCAAAACCGTCCTGTTAAACAATGTTTCCAAAGAAAATAATTTTTGCAAAAATTCAAGAGTTTGATTGCGTGAATCAACATTTTTCAACGAATATTCATTTAAATAAAACACATCGGCCGAAACGTTTCAACTTAAATACGAATCTCTGCAAAACATCTTTAGAAAAGAATAGATTTTTTAACCTTGTATTGTTGCCAGTTCTTATTGAAACTTTGTGAGCCATCAATTCTTTGTTGGATGACAATCCATCCATTGACAGATAACACAGTTGTTGGATAAGAGAAGTTCGGAATATCCAACAAAATCGTCATGTTAGTGATATTAAGATCTAAAAAAATATTATCGCTAGCAAGTTTGAGCTCCTCAAACTATCTGAATTACAAAAATTACTACAAATTCAATTTTAATTTCATAATGAGTAACCCATTTGAGTAAATAATGACAATTCGTGTAGGTTTTTACACAAGTTGTCTTTGTCATTAAAAAATGTTCAGTTGTGGAAAAACTTAACTTAATTCTTTAATGCACAGTTCTGATTCAGCTTGATTTGTTTAAAAATCGGTATCTACTAGACCAACAATACTGCAATGAAATGTTTGTGCTACAAATGATGTGACATTAAACTTTATACTACACATGTCATATTCAAATTCCGTAATACAAAAATTTAAAAAGTTTACCTAGGAGATCAAGACAAATGGCCAAAATTCTGCGTCCAGTTAGGCATAAAAACATTCCACGTGGATTAGGTACTCCAGGCAGTTTGTTGGAACAATTGTAGAACAGTCCACCGTTGTATGTAAATGGAAAGTTGCATTGGGAACTGTTGATGGTGCCAAGACTTGTTCCTATTTGGACAAAAATTTATTTATAAATTACCAAACGGATAATATTTTGTTGTGTGAACAAACATTAAAATCGGGTTTGTTGTTTTTTTTTATATTTGCTTTATGGCTAAAGAGGTATCTTTATTTTATAAAATAATTGAAAATGAATTTACTTATTTTGAATTTGTTTCCGACATTCTGAAAAGCAAAAAACAATTTTCACAAAATCATTTACTCACAAATGAACAAAACTAACCGCGAATCCAGTACAATTCTCCATTTCGATCATCGAAACAAAGCTCGTTTCAAACTCTACAGAGAACATTTGGCATTTGGCCGAGAAATCATTATTTGATAAATCATCAATATAATTAAAAGCATTACATTTTGCGTTGCTAACAGGAAAATCAAACATAGAACATTTAACAGAACATTCTATCTCTGATCTTACCTTTCCTTCGTTTAATTTCATCCCAATGTCAAAGCAGAGAGACACGTTGCTAACTGGATCTTTTACTTGTTTGTACGATTCATTCAGAGGCCCAATCAGAAGGGAATGAACATACATCAGAAACAACACTATTTCGCAGAAGTATAAACTTATAACAAACATGATTGCATAGATTAGTTTACTGACTAGTATTAATATGATTTTAGATATTTTACAACAAATTGGAAGATGGTTTAGTAACTATTGCGTTCCAGAAGTTACGGAGTTGTAGGAATAATGGCAGTTATGAGAAATTCAACGTCTAAACCAGCTTACATATACTAGGTAATATGGTTAACAAACCTTTATAAGACTAGATTAGAGTTCTGAATGTTTGGGAAAACAATAAATCAACTGTGAAAAGGAAGAAATTAAGAACTATTTTAAAAAAAGAACTGACAATAAATAAAATTTTGGGTTATTCAAAACTTTTTAAACAAAGGAAGTAATGAGAAACCTATCTAAAAGCATGCCCCTTGCAGATGAATGAATTGTACCTAATGATGATTCCACAATGCATATCGCTGAATAGTTGATTTAGAAATTTTAAAGCTTTTAAAAATTTTTGTTGATTAAGTTTGCGTTATTTAACAATTTGATAGACATAGCCCATTTGATTGGCAGATCAATTTTTTTAAATTAAAAAATGTTTTTTAGTACAAAGAGCCGCATTATGCATGTTTGCATTCAACAAACCCAGACCTCAACAATAACGTTTTTATGTAGAGTTATTGGTTATATATTACTATATAGTGTTATATACGGTTATAAAGATTTATATATAGTTATGTAGAGTTAGTGATTTTATTATATAATGTTATATACGGTTATATAGATTTATATATAGTTATGTAGAGTTGTTGGTTATATATTATTATATAGTGTTATATGCGGTTATATAGATTTATATATAGTTATGTAGAGTTATTGATTATATATAATTATATAATGTTATATACAGTTTTATAGATTTATATATAGTTATGTAGAGTTATTGATTATATATTATTATATAATGTTATATTCAGTTTTATAGATTTATATATAGTTATGTATAGATATTGGTTATATATTGCTATATAGTGTTATACACGGTTATATAGATTTATATAGAGTTATGTAGAGTTATTGATTATATATTAATATATAATGTTATATACGGTTATATAGATTAATACATAGTTATGTAGAGTTATTGGTTATATATTATTATATAGTGTTATATACGGTTATAAAGATTTATATATAGTTATGTAGAGTTATGGATTAAATATTATTATATAGTGTTATATAGGGTTATATAGGTTTATATATAGTTATGTAGTTTTATTGGTTATATATTATTATATAGTGTTATATGCGGTTATATAAATTTATATATAGTTATATAGAGTTATTGATTATATATTATTGTATAGTGTTGTATACGGTAATAAAGATATTTATAGAGTTAAGTAGAGTTATTGGTTATATTTTATTATATAGTGTTATATACGGTTATAAAAATTTATATATAGTTATGAAGATTTATTGATTATATTTTATTATATAATGTTATATACGGTTATATAGGTTTATATATAGTTATGTAGAGTTATTGATAACATATTATTATATAGTGTTATATACGGTTATATAGGTTAATATATATATATATAGGTTGTCTATAGTTATTGGTTATACATTATTATATAGTGTTATATACGGTTATATAGATTTATATGTAGTTATGTAGAGTTATTGGTTCTATATTACTTTATAGTGTTATATACCGTTATATAGATTTATATATAGTTATGTAGAATTATTGATTATATATACGGTTATAAAGATTTATATATAGTTATGTAGAGTTATTGATTATATATTATTATATAGTGTTATAAACGGTTATATAGGTTTATATATAGTACTGTATATTTATTGGTTATATATTATTATATAGTGTTATATGCGGTTATATAGGTTTATATATAGTTATGTAGAGTTATTAGTTATATATTGTAATATATTGTTATATGCGGCTATATAGATTTATACATAGTTATGTTGAGTTATTGGTTATATGTTATTGAATAGTGTTATACACGGTTATATAGATTTATATATAGTTTATGTAGAGTTATTGATTATATATTTTTATTTAGTGTCATATACGGTTTTATAGATTTATACATAGTTATGTAGAGATATTGGTTATACATTACTATATAGTGTTATATACGGTTATAAAGATTTATATATAGTTATGTAGAGTTATTGATTATACATTATTATATAGTGTTATAAACGGTTATATAGGTTTTTAAATAGTTATGTAGTGTTATTAGTTATATATTGATATATAGTTTTATATGCGGTTATATAGATTTAGATATAGTTATGTTGAGTTATTGTTTATATATTATTATATAGTGTTATATGCGGTTATATAGATTTTTATATAGTTAGGTAGAGTTATTGGTTATATATGATTATATAATGTTATATGCGGTTATATAGATTTTTATATAGTTATGTAGAACTATTGATTATATATCATTATATAGTGTTATATACGGTTTTATAGATTTATATATAGTTATATAGAGTTATTGGTTATATATTACTATATAGTGTTACATACAGTTACATAGGCTTATATGTAGTTATGTTGAGTTATTGATTTTATATACGGCTATAAAGATTTATATATAGTTATGTAGAGTTATTGATTATAAATTATTATATAGTGTTATAAACGGTTATATAGGTTTATATATAGTTATGTAGAGTTATTAGTTATATATTGTTATATAGTTTTATATGCGGTTATATAGATTTGTATATAGTTATGTAGAGTTATTAGTTATATATTGCTATATAGTGTTATATACCTTAATATAGATTTATATATAGTTATGCAGAGTTATTGATTATATATACGGTTATAAAGATCTGTATATAGATATGTAGAGTTATTGATCATATTTTATTATATAGTGTTATATATTATATTATTATATAGTGTTGGTGATTCACTAATCTTCTTATTCATTCATTCATTCATTCATTCATTCATTCATTCATTCATTCATTCATTCATTCATTCTTTCATTCATTCATTCATTCATTCATTCATTCATTCATTCATTCATTCATTCATTCATTCATTCATTCATTCATTCATTCATTCTTTCATTCATTCATTCATTCATTCATTCATTTATTCATTCATTCATTCATTCATTCATTCACTTCATTCATTTATTCATTCATTCATTCATTCATTCATTCATTCATTCATTCATTCATTCATTCATTCATTCATTCATTCATTCATTCATTCATTCATTCATTCATTCATTCCTTCATTCATTCATTCATTCTTTCATTCATTCATTCATTCATTCATTCATTCATTCATTCATTCATTCATTCATTCATTCATTCATTCATTCATTCATTCATTCATTCATTCATTCATTCATTCATTCATTCATTCATTCATTCATTCATTCATTCATTCATTCATTCATTCATTCATTCATTCATTC